TAGCTTCTGATTTAAATACCATTATTTTTTTTTCAATTTAGTTTATTCTAGAAATTTATTTATTTACGTTAAATAGTGATCAATTTATTCCCGGATTACGGTATTCAAAAGTTTTTCAGCTAATTGAATCTGATGGAATCTTGAATGATGAATCTAGATTTTATGGACATGTTTGTACATAAGGGATGGAAATTTGTATATGTATCTAATATGCATAAATTTCTTTCTTATCGATAACCATTATGCCCGGAATTCAGCTGCAGGATAGTTTGAACGCCTTAGCAAATAAAACATATGATTCAATAAATCAAGAACACTGAACACCAAAACTAACTTTATATAAAATAAAATAAATCCCAATGCTTTTGTAAAAATAAATTCAATTATTATCAAGTTACAAACAGGGACACAATCATTCAAGTTTCATTCCTTTCGATTATCTTAAATCTTGACTGACTCCGAATGTTTGTTAGTCCGATGCATCGAATAAAAACTGTTCTGAATAAATGCTTTATTACTTTCTTTTCTCTTCAAATATCAGAATCATGAAAAATTATAGCCAGACTTTTCAATATTTACCGAAATTTTTAAAGCTTAATCTTGCACATATTTAAGTCCGAAATGTATGAAATTTATTCTGTGTGCATTTTACCATGTTTCAAATTCAAACTTCTACATGGATACAAATTTTGTTCATTTAAATCAAAAATATAATATTCTCTAAACAGATTCAAAGTAAATTGAAAACATTAAAACAAAAATATTTATGATTGATTTAAATTTGAAAGTATGTTTATTTGAACAATATACACACTTGGTTTGTCGTAGAACTACGTCTTTGTCGACTATACTGGGGTGCAAATCAAAAAAATATGTGTGACGAAATAGTGTTAGGTTTTGAACGCTTGTAACTTTGCCATTTATAGATGAAAATAAAAACCAAATACGTCAATCGATAGGATATTACATTACAAGTCAAGTATTTTTGTTTAAATTTTCCTCAAAAACATTTGAAAAATGTATCAATGATAATTGTATCTCTGTTTTCATGAAATAAACGTTTTTCCTAACCCAGTCGTCATAATCGAGTGCCACTTGGTTGTACATCGTTCTGCTTGAACCTGAAAAGATATAAAACAGCGCTGCTGTCGTGACTCTGCTCACACGTACCAGCATCCAGACAGGTGAGTCATACTCTGAACCTCGACAACACAACCAAAGATCTTATCAGGCTCCGTAACACCATTCGTAAGCTATTCCAGCGTTCTGGGCTGCCCAACTTGAAGACCAAGGTCAATAGGCTAACCAAAATTATCCAGGCCAGAATGGTGGAACTCAGAAATAACGATTTTGCCAACAAGATTCGTTCTCTCCCAGATTGTGCAAAATCATTTTGGAAGATGACCAAAATTTTGAAAATTTTAGTCGAGATCGATCCTTCCGCTTTCCTCTGTTGACCAGAACTTGGACCCATCCCTACTCATAACCCCAGTTGAAATGACCAATGCTCTTGACCAACATTTTGTGATTTCACATAATCTTGGCTAAGCCATGGTGAGCCCCCATGGGCCTGCCGTTCTGGAGGCCTACTTCCCTACATGCTGGAAGTTAGCCAAAGTGATTCCAATACACAAGCCTGGGAAAGATCCTACCAGTGCCAAAAGCTATCGCCCCATCAGCCTCTTGTCCTCCATCTCGAAACTGTTCGAAAAGTTGATACTCAGCCGTCTGCTGGTGTTTTCAAATGATAATAACCTCTGATAACATCAATTCGGGTTTAGGAAAGGCCACTCTACCATCCACCAACTCGCACGGGTTACTAACATCATCAAGCGGAATAAGTCCGTTTCCAATACATCTGCCATGGCATTGTTGGACGTTGAGATGGCATTCGACAATGTCTGGCATGATGGCCTAGTGTACAAGCTGCATCGATGCAACTTTCCGATCTACCTCGTGAAGATCATCAAAAACTACTTGTCGGGCAGATCATTCCAGGTCTACCTGAACAATGTCCCCTCTGATACGTTCCACGTTGATGCAGGGGTCCCTCAAGGTAGCCTGCTAGGGCCTATCCTATTCAACATTTTCACGTCAGACGTTTCTCCCCTGCCGGGTGGTGGTATCCTGTCAATGTTCGCAGATGACACCTCCATCATCTATAAAGGTCGAGTGATCCGTATTCTGGCGCGTAAACTACAATCAGGCCTGGATGCTCTGTCCGACTATTTCAAGAGCTGAAAGATTTGTATCAATGCAGCTAAAACACAAACCATTCTGTTTCCACACTCGAATTTACATCGGCTTGTTCCGCCTGCTAACGTCAAGATTCATCTTGATAGCACTCCCATTGAATGGTCGAGTGAAGTAGTCTACCTTGGTCTCACCCTCGTTAGCAAATTGCTATTCCGATCCCATGTGGACAAGACATCCACCAAGTGTAACATCTTGATCAGGTCGCTCCTCTGATAAACAGGAAGACCACCCTATCCCTCAAAAACAAGCTTGCTGTCCACAAGCAGATCATTTGGTATGCCAACCTGGGAGAGTTGTGCTAAGTGCCACCACCTAAAACTTCAGAGGATCCAAAACAAGGTCCTCAGAATGATCCTTAACAGTCCACCGCAAACTCGTTATTCTGAGATTCACCACCTGACCGGTCTTCAAACGCTCGAAGAGCGAAAGACTTCCACGCTGGAAAGGTTTAAGGCCCAAGCGCAATGACAGCGGAAGCGGAACGGCAGCGGCAACGGAAAAGCCCGATCTGAGTAAGCCTACTTGTCGGATTGAAAACTAGTTAGAATCAAATCGATTTCGGTTAGGCATCTTGATGGCATTTGTGACAACTGTCAAACTTTCCGTTTCCGTTCCGCTTCCGCCCACATTGCGTTTGGGCCTTTAGAGTCGCCTGTCTACGATCAAACCACCAGATCATTCGTGATCTAGTTCAAGTAGTTAGGTAAGCAATCCCATAAAAGGGTATCCTGTAAATTAGCGCTAAACGCAATCATCACATTAGAATAACCAAATAACTAGAACAAAGATGAAGAGCCAAAGGCTAACCAATTTAAATGATAAACCAAATGCTAAAACATAAAAAAAACCAGAAAATAAACGTAAATTTTACTATTACTACTGCCTCTGCTCACATTCTCTGCTGGAACATCAAGCTGTACAGTCCGATTTTCTTTTCGCTCTATTTTTTTAAACCACAAATCTGTCAAATTGTTCACAATTACGTCCAATCGAGAGATATTGGGCTCTGATGAAGCGGAAGCTTTCTGAAAAAAAAACAAGGAATCAAAGATATCAAACACTTCCAACAAATTTGGACAAAGACGGTCACCACGGTATCTGAGGAGTCAATATAAACCCTAATGGATGGTGTTAGGGTGATTCGCTCGTGGGGGTGACCCCGGCGTAGTGGTTAGCATTCACGCCAAAGTCACGAGGTCAAATCTTACCCCCGGACAAGTCACAAATGACCCAAGAGCGTTAAAATGACTATTGAAAAAAAAAGTGATTCGCTGTGACATCCTTATTCTCGGAACCACCTCGAAACATCAATTGCACAAATATAAGCTTCTACGACTCGTGCAATACTCAAATTGTTACTCCACGTTTGCTGCACTGCAGCATACATGAGGTAACAGTTTCAAATGAAATGGGGCACTGATTTCCGAGATTTGTGTAATTGAAAATTCGAAGTGGAAGTACATTGGCGGCCATTTGTGGACCCTACAAGGAATCACCTTAAGCGCAAAGTTCGAAAATGTTATGCAAATACCGAATGACTATGTTTTGGCTTTGTGAATTTTAAAATCATATCCCATGAATCTGAAATAAACAGCTACAATGGAAATATAATGCGAAATTTGTGTTTTACTTAAGTTTTGGTGTGTCCGGATAATTGTGGATGCAGACCGTATGACCACATATCATTCTTATATGGATTTATACGATAACAACGCTATCCACTATCAATTGGCATCTACTTTCATTATACGTGATAAAACTACAAACTGAAATCATGAAAAATGTGAAAACAACATCAAGTTAGTTTGTCCCATCAAGCAAAGTAATCGGATGTCAGTCCGATCCTGAAGTTAAAATCGTTCAGAGGCTGAGTTACAGTTCTGCTTTTTGAATCGTCACATTTTTCGCTGATATAACAAGTCATGCAAGTTGCACTTCTAATGATTTTAACTTGACAAAATTATCAATTAATTTACTATGATTTTTTAAATATTTACTTGGAAATTGCACGTCTTAACTTCAACTGCCATTTTCTCAATGCCTACTTTGTCCATATGGGACCGATATGCAATTATAGGCAGTATACCGAATATTCAACAATCCAGCAGTCAAAATGTTGCTGTATTTTTGGCGCACATTGATGATTGATCATACCAGCAGCGCATGCCACGTTTCATATCAATCCTGATGAAGCGCTTTTTGTTATAAACCTTCATTGCACTCATTTCCGGCTCGCATTCAGACAAATTAAGTAATCTCTTGACAAATAGGCCTTGCGCCGCTTCCGCCACCCGTATCGCGCTGCAAATTTGCGGTTCAGTCCCATTCTCGCGCATATGACTCCTTTCACACCCTCAAGCGTCAAAGCTCATCTTCATTAATCCACTTGTCCGCTTCTGCGTCTTGGCAATTTTCATTTCAGATCCCCAACGAAGGACGACCAGACGAAACTAATTGGACATAACCTCAATAGCTGCGAGAGAGAGCGTCAACCAAGAAGAAGAGTGAACCGGCCGTAAAGTAATCCAAAACTTCCATCCGGGGCAGAAATGATGATGATGACGATTGTTGTGGTCTTCGACATAATTTAGTTTTGGAGAAAAAAAAATTGTTTAATCCCTTTCGACAACACGCGCGCGCGCGGCTCCGACCAAGCGCGGAAAAGATTTATCCTTTTTTCGTGCCCGCATTGCCCGCCGCCGCGCCCCAAGGGGGTCAGTTCGAGGTACCCGGTGAAAAAAAAAAAAAAGTTCGTGAAAAGTTGAAAGGGGAGGGGGCACAAAAATCAATTAAGTTTTATTGCACCCAGAGTGTTTGCGGAGGGTAAAAAGTTGAAAAAAAGAAAGTAATTCAATTTCTTCTGCTCGAAAACCTGCGAAGGAATCCCATAAATTTCCGCATTTCTCCAGTGTCCCGTGAGCGCTGAGGTTTTTCCCTCGAGTTCGGTAGTGTTGTGAGTGGAAAGAAGAAGAAGAAGAAGAAGACGCAGAAAACGAAGATTCCAGCCTACAACAGAAGAAGATGCGGCCAAAGTGCGATCGTGAGCAGCAGTTATCATCAACTGCTGAGGCCTGAGGATCGCTAAAAGAAGGAAGACGGGGAAAAATGTCACAGCGAGATTTTTCTGAGGTAAGAAACGTGGCTTAATTAAGGTTCCGTAATTGAATTGACGCCTGAGCGTTGGCACATGCATGGGGTCCGGGTTCAGCGACGACGACGCCGTCGCCGCTGGGGTGATTTATTGGTAAAACGTGAATGGTTTAAAGGGAGCGACGGGAAGATCGGCCGAATGGTTTATAGGTTTGATTGGATAACTGACCAAATTGCACTACACCAAAATGGACAAGAGATAAGTCATTTAACAATAAAGTATAAGATCTGGAGCAATTGCAATAGTGGTCAATTTATGCCACTAATCTAAGTGGTGATGCGTTAAGGAAAGCGCTTTACTGATAATTATTTATCGCTGATTACCATGGCAACTTTGCCATAACCTATACAAAAATCCACCTCGAAGATTTGCTGTCGCATAGTAGGAAATGGCCAACGGCTGATGGTCGGTATTTTTCCGCTTCGACTCATCTTGCGATCGTGGGATCGTGCAGAGGTCCAAAAAACAGCTGAGCCCGGGTCAATTAATTGAAATGTAAACATACGATTTATTCGTTTTCCCACGACTGACTGACTGGCACGGTGGATGGCTCGGCAGTCCGAGAAAGATTGAGATGGCGGTGGGGAGGCCAGAAGACAGCGGATGAACGACTCGCGGTCCGAAGAAAGTAATCAGCTAAGAGAGTAATTAAGATAATAGGAGGGGAATGCTGCGACGGGCCAAACACGCGGATCGCTCGGCAGGCTACAATGGGCATTCTCCACGTGTGTGTGTGTGTGTGCAACGGAAGAATTTTTTCCTTTAATTGAATAATTTGCTTGCGGAGTTCGACGGTTTTCGATGCCGGTGGGATAACTCGAATACTCCAACTATCAGCGTAGGAACGATAGAGATTAGAAAACATTGCCATAGCCATAGTTGACCGGCACGATAAGAAAGTTGAAGGATGTTGGTTTCCTGGGATCAGTTACATGAGTTGACCTTGTATAGCAAATGGATTTCACATGAACGCTGCCATCTTTCAATTCTAGATTTCCGAAAGCGCTTTTTTGAAATAATTTAATTTTACGTCTACATTTAATTTTTCTGTAAAGTGATTTAAAGTTGCCATGGGTGTAGCCAGGAGGTCACAAGGAAGTTAAAGGATGATGGAATTTGAATGTTCTCCGTCTAGTAAGCCAGTGGTGAAATACATATTGTAACGATCACGAATTTTGTATAAATTTGTATATAACTTAATAGGTTTAAATTGTTTGAATTGAATTCCTTACAAAAGGAAGACACAAGCATTTTTGCCGAAATCTTTCCTAAGAGAGGTCCATTTAATTTATGGTTAAGGTAGGAAAGGGACAGCCGCACGATTAAACGAGTCAAGTCATTTTTCGTGTATTTAGATTCACGATCGGACACGAAGGGTTTTGGGAAATGATGGACTTCCGGATCGTCCGAGCTTCACTTTTTTTAATCGAGGATTCACGGTCTCTATCATTTCGTCTGTGACTTCCCAACAAACTTGAAGTGTGCCCGTTTGTTCGTGGTTGTTGTTTTTTAAAATTAAAGTATGTGTTCAAATTAATTAAATATTTTTGCGATCAGGAGGCAGACTATAAAATTGCAGGTGATCAGATGTGCTCAATATGTGCTGTCCATGTCCGTGGCCGTGCTTGTGCTTACTGTTCTGGTGAAGCCATCTTTAAATCGTTGGCAGAATAATTCACCGTACCCGAGCGCAGCAACTTCTCCCCGACGGACGGAATTTTCCCGGCAATCGTCAACCGGCTGGAAGCGACGGATCCGTTAAAAAAATCTGTCCGAGGAGACTCAGGGGAACTCCATCGACGATCACTAACGAGTGCGTCGAACCCGTCGATAGGTCATCGACTGTGACCATCACGTAAGCCAACGATAATCTGGTGAGTCAAGCCTTTTTTTTGACGTAGGGCTACGTCTGTGATTTCTATATGGGGACACACTTTGTGAAAACCGAAAATGGAACATGTAACAAAATTTGAAAGATTTTGAACGTTATTAACTCAGCTGCCCCTGGACCAATTTCAATAATTTTATCACCAATCGATCAGAAATATGTCGACGCATCTGATAAATTTAATACTTTATATTTTTTCCAATTTTCATTATTGAAAATTGCACGAATTTGCAACTGTTGCTATGATAATTAAAATTATCATCGATTGCCTACGAAAAGCGATTTCCCTAACACAGATTTCAAAGTTGAATTCCATCCTGTCTCACCAAACGGTATCTATTCAATCACCACGTGGTCAGTGGTGGTGTTCTCCAGAACACAACGAAAGGCTACCTGTAAGCCCACGTGAGCATCTATATAAGGAGGAAGAAGCCGCAGCGCTATTAGCCATCTATGTCAAGCGTGTCATGCTAAAGAGTATAAACAGAGAGAACCTCGCTCAAATGCCTATTCCAACACAAATCACAAGCTCCTGCTGTAGTTAACCAATAAGATTTTTTGTATAAGACCACGTAGTCCTACGTCACCATTAGGTACAATCCCAAAGGGCTGTCCCTTGTAGTTTTTTACTTTGGAGTGTGGCGTCCGGCTAGGGCGCCACGGAGTGATTTTTTGCCAGTCTAAGACTGAGGAGCGAATGGCGCCAAGTTTCCGTGACACGCTTTTCCAGAACTCGTGATGTGGCATTCCCGCCTGTAAAATATGCGCGCGTAAGATTTCCGACGCCACTCCATTGTCACCAGGAGCGCAGACTCGTTTAGAGCTGAGTTGCCGATAAGGTGACGTCACACAAATGAACAGATAAGAGCATATGAGCACTTCAGCTAGGGAGAGAGAAATCGCACACACATAAGAGAGAGGAACGAACACACACACAAGTAAATAGAAATCGCTAAAGATAACATCGATCTACGTAGGTTATGTAATGTTGAAATACCCGTTATTCCGTCAATATACCGTCTGAATAGTTCGTAACAATACATGTGTTCTTAAACGAACCATCTCTCTAGCTTTAATTGATTAAATGCATTCGACATCACTTCGCGTCAGCGTTGCCAGAATGTGTTAAAGCTTATCGGTATCAAAGGTTTTAAAAAATCGCTATTTATCTGTATTTTATATTTTAATTAATTTTATATTTTTGCCGCTTTTGAAAGCGAAAATTTTAACTTTTGGACTATGATCGGACAATTCCTGAAGAAAATTCCGGGGAATGCTTGAATTAGCTTCTTGAGGAAGCTGACAACAACATCCAGAGAAAGAGGAACGAAGCTCTCCTGGAGGAAATTTGAGGAAAGTTCTGAAAGAAGTCGGAAAAGCATCCGTGGAACTTCCAATACATAAAATGAGAAACTTCTGGCGAAAATTCAAAGGAACTTTCAGCGGATTTCTCATTCAAAGGAAGACAGAAAAGTTTTGGAAATCGGAAATAAATTCCAAAAGCAGCCATTTCCAGGGGAAGCCAGAAGAAACTCGGAAAAACCTTCCAAAAGAAGTAAAAAAACCAACTGGACAAAATTCCAGAACTAGACGAATGAAATTTCTGGGAGAAGTTTAATTGAACTTCCTGGAGAAAACGGAAGAAACTTCCTAGGGTAGATTTGACAAAAAATCTGAAGAAAGGCGAAAGCCAGAGCGCTTACAGAACAGCCGAAAGAAACAAAGACATACTTCTGGAAGAAAGAGCTCTTGGGGAATGTTCTAATAATCCAGAAAATTTTCCAAATGGTCATTAAACATCCCTGAAGACCTCGCAATGCCCCTGAAGTTTTTGGAACATTCCTGAAATGTACTTAGGAATATTCCATATTTCCTCGGGATGTTTTGAAGTGCTCTGATCATCTTTGAAATACTTGGAACTTCCCTGATTATAATGAGACTACCGGAATATCTGTAATCAACTTTGAAGGTCTTTAGACTTTCTTTTAGGTTACGAAATTTCTTTAGTGCTCTCACAATTTTCTTGAATTTATTGTAACATCAGCATTGAAGTTCTCTGATCTTCCCGATTTTTCTAATTTTTAAAAGTGATCAACACTGCCATTTAAAAGCACGAAACTTCCCATAAAATGTTCTCACAATGTCTTAATGTTCGTGTGACTTCCCTTATGTTTCTTAAATTTGCATGAGCCTTTTGCTGTAGTTTTCGGAAATTGCCTGAGTTTCTCAGAACTCCTTTAAAATTTACGATTTCCTTGAAATTTATTGATCTGATCTAATTGTCCTGTTGTTCTCGGAGCTTCCTAAAGTTCAATTAATTCTCCTGAAACTAATGGAACTGTTCTGAAAACCATTAAATTTTCCAGAAGTTCTTTAGACTTGTGAAGTATCCAAAATATTTATGATGTTTCCTTAAGTTCACTGGTGTTCGCTGGACCGGATTTTAGAATATTAACAGAAGTTATTAAAACATTCTTTAATTTATCGAAACTTACTCAAAAGTCTGAACTTTTCTGAAGTTTCCGTAGTGGATCCGCAATCAAAATCTAGAAGCATCCCTGAAGTTCCGGGAAGAATCATTCGAGCGAAGGCTGAAAAAGCTTCCAAGCGAAGTCGAAATAAGTTTCCGAGAGGAATCGTAAATAGAAAATCCAGAGGAAAGTTGGAAGAAAATCTAGGAAGTTAAATAATGTTTAAAAAAGTATTTCCCGATTCCCCTGAAATTACCAGAAAGAGCCATCGACTGTTTACCGAGTCACGGAATGCAAAAACGGTGAGGAAATTGAAACATTAATCGAAAGGGTATCCATACGACATTTTTGAAGATGATTTTTTTTTTAGAATTTTAAAGACTCAACAAATTTGAGATATTCAAAAAGATACAAGTCTCACACAATAATTTTCTCCGAAATTCTTAGCGTGGGCAGGCAATAATCATTTTGTTTATTAAAAAAAAATCGGTATAAATCGGTATAACACCTCAAAAATCGGTATTCTGAGGAACCTTATCTGTATATCGGTATCTAGTTCGGAAATCGGTATAAATACCGATAAATCGGTATATCTGGCAACGCTGCTTCGCGTTCTCCG